TACTACTACTACTACTACTACTACTACTACTACTACTACTACTACTACTACTACTACTACTACTACTACTACTACTACTACTACTACTACTACTACTACTACTACTACTACTACTACTACTACTACTACTACTACTACTAATAATAATAATACGAAGTAGTGGTTACGTCTTCGGCGATGATTTGTAAGAAAGGTTTGCTCCCCACACCGGAGCTCGCGCTATTAGTTGGTTTGGAGGTGACAGCATTGCGAATGACCGAGGGTCCTCGACGTCTGTCTCACCGTCCAGGAGCGACACTGACTCACGCTGCTATCTGGTGTTCACGAGGTGTTTATCGCGCTGGAAGCGGAGCGTCTCTGTAAGTTTGTATCCCTGGTGATGTTTGTGCCTGGAGAGCACTATATAAGTGGTGCTCTTCAGGCACAATCTTCCTCAGCCTACTCAAGCTCAACTGATGAGGGGTGAATTCCCCGAAACACTGTGTATTGAGCAGGGAGTGGTGCTTTCTTGCAGGTTTGCCGAGTCGAAGGTTCGATGGACTTCTCGTGTGCTCTGGATGGCAGTCGTGAGTCAGTCAAGTGTCAAGTAAAGTCGGCGGAATAGCACGAGCTCCGGTGTGGGGAGCAAACCTTTCTTACAAATAATAATAATACTTGTTTAATAATTGTTACTTGTTTGACATGTATTACTGTGTAATTTATAACAAAACTATTATTGAGGCGGATGAATGTGTTGATCGTAAAAAGGTCAGCTGTGTATCTACACTTGTTATCTCGTCCTGACTGTCTTGGTGTGTATGATGACTCTCATTTTTCTGCACTGTGTCGTACGCGTTATGTCCAACGGTTGAAAGTCCTTGAAGCAGTTTGTATACGTATTCATAAGCCTGTTTTGTGTAAGCAGAAAGAGCACATTGTGGCACTGAAGTTGTATTCGTAGGTTGACACTTCGTTCAGTGCCTTCTTGCCTTTGGTTACGTAATCTTGTTACCTTTTTGCGTTTCCTCTAGTGGTTTTAATGCACAGTTTCTTTGGTTGTATCATTTAGTTATTTTTTCCCACTGATGATAGGAACGAGAAAATCGATTCTGGATTTTCAATAATATTTTTGATAAAGTACGCAGTAATACATGTCAAACAAGTAAAGTAGTTGCGTGATGTCTGCGGCCTTCATCCTATTCATAGCTATATTAATAATAATAATAATAATGTAAGGAAAACAAATTGGAGGCGTATCCAATTTCATCTTTTCTTTCGAAATATTAATGTACACATACATATTCTGTTTGGTGTCTGTGCCTGTGCTGTGTTTATTTGGCAATGATTATGCTCCTAAAACGTAACCTGGAAGCTTCCCTGGTAGTACATTCAGATGTGTTAGCATGAAAGTACAAATTTTAAAAGAGGCTGAAAATTGTCAACATGTCGATGAGCCGTACTTCGCTTCAAAAAATGGAATTGCAGATGGATTTTTGTTCGTCCGACTGTTGAAGGCTAGAGAACTTCTCATTGCTCAAGCTTTCCAAAAGCCCAAGGTTGTGAACTCTACCCAAGGGAAACTAAAGTTATCGTCCAAAAAAATATTGTGCAAATGCAGAATAGAAAAACTACTCACCTTGAGCGGCTGAGACAAAAAAGCGACGTCCATTATTTTCCCATGCAGGCGAGTTGAAGAGACATATGCACACACACAGACAACCCACAAACAGGAACAGAATTAAGCAACTGATTGGAGGTATGCATCGAAGATGGCCGTCACCTTTTTGCTAGGCAAGTTGCCCCATACTTGGCGGGTACAACCCATTCTACTTGAAGTACTGTAAGACATGTTATTATAACGAGTCGCAAATTTAACGATTGTCCAAAATTCATAGGTTAACGAGAAGATATGTTAACGATCTTGCAGTATTCTGCCATATCCACACACAGCATATATGAAGCAGTACGGCCTCAACGGATCTTATTATAACGAAGAAATGTCATCCGTTAAAACGTTAGATTTGCTTCCTCGTTATATATACATGTCTTACAGTAGTACATTTATTCCGAGGATGATCTAAGAAAGCTCTTGACCCATTATGCAGAGCTAGTATCACATTGTGTATGAATGTATTTGACTTGCCCAGCAAAACGTCATGGTGGAAAATTGATGCATACTGGTACGTTCCTTAAATCCATGTGCACATGTACAGGCAGGGGGAGGGGGGGGGGGGGTGCATTTCCACACAAATCAAAGAAAACCGATAAACTAGCAATTTTCCCTGTTTGACAGTGCGTTTCTAAAAACTGCTTGGCTAGCATCTACCGTATTTTCCGGGGTATAAGCCGCACCCCCCTTTTTGAGGCAAAATATTGACTAAAAGTTGGTATTCGGAGTATAAGCCGCACCCACAAACCTAGATTTTTCACACTCATTGACAAATGGCCTTTCTACAAATTTATCCTGATTTTCTCCGATCGAATATTCGAGTATTCGAGTATTTTTCATCTCCTTAAAATTGCACACCGAGCGTACACAAGCTACATTGGTGATGGGGATTCGAAGGCCTACCGCAGTGTATGTCAGCTGAAGCCATATGGTGACACGAATATTGATAAGGAGGAGTGTGTTGGCCACGTTCAAAAGCGTGTTGGTCACAACTTACGTACTCTGAAGCAGAAGTGTGGGTCAAAGCCACTATCTGATGGGAAGCCGATTGGCGGAAAAGGAAGATTGACTGGCAGCAAAATTGATTCTCTGCAGAACTATTATGGCGCAGCCATCCGCAGCAATCCACGCTCAACATCAGGTATGGCTCGTGCTATCTGGGCATCAGTTTGCCACAGCGTGGAATTCCCAGACCTCACAAAGCGACATCAGTTCTGTCCAGAAGCCACCACATCATGGTGCAGATATCAACGAGAAAAAGCCCAGTCCAGCCACAGTGAAGCAAGCACAGGTGCAGTCTCTTCCAGCAATACCATACCACTTGCTGTGTTTGAAGAAATGAAGCCACTGTACATGCGTCTGACTGACTTACAGCTGCTGGAACGCTGCACCCGTGGCGCCACGCAGAATGTGAATGAAGCCTTGAACTCCATGATTTGGCACTTATGCCCGAAAGAGATGTTCTGTGGCTCACAGACTGTTGAAACTGCTGTGTACCTAGCAGTGTTGCTCTTCAATGAAGGACATGGGAGCCTGGCTGATGTTGTACGTCGCATGGGCTGTTCAGTGGGTGCACAATTGAAGAAGAATCTGGCTATGCTAGACCAAGACAAAGAGTACCACAGAAAGAGGAAGATGTCAGACAAAGAGAAGAAAGCAAGGAAACACCGGAGAGCTGTGAAGAAGGGCTTCGAGGACCACGCGAAGGAGACGGAAGGCGAAACATATGCTGCCGGTGGGTTTTGAAGAGTCCCTTTTTTTGCTGATTTTAGGCCTATTTTCATGTATAGCGGCTGCTGTGAGCCATCATATCTCTAGATTGGTGCATCACACTGCCACAATGTAGGGCATTTTTCCTATCTACACACAATTTCCAAGGTGCTGAACCTCACATCTGTACTAAGAAACTGACCATCTTTTGGCTTGGCTTGCTTGAAGATTTGTAAGAACTTTTGCCGTTCCGTTAATTCTACTTTTGGCTGTTCTGGGTGTTCCTTCATGTTCTCTCTTTCACTAAAATTTGAGGTTTGGCACCTGCCTCTACCCATAGTACATCTGCACAAGCATGACCGCCCTTGTGTTATAGATTTTTCTGCCTGCCCTTGTGGCTTGAGTTTTGTAGATATGTGCGATATGCCCGTCTTTTTTCTGGAACCTGATTTTACCATTTCTAACCATCATAGAGCTCTAAAATTTCTTGTGCGCATGGCCAGATGCATTATGAGACCATTGCCAAAGTTTTACTGGTCTATGACCTGCCAAACTGGACTTCTGGTATCTCTCGCAACAGGTAATTTAAAGGGGTACTGCCACCTTAAAATCACATGATACAACCCTGATTGAGCCGAGTGGCAGTCATTTTTCTCTGGTATATTGGTTGCTGGGTCATTTGGGCTCTCTCTACTCGTGAACAAATGTTCACCACACAGTCTGCAAATCAATATCTGCCGACTGCTGCTCTCAAACTGCAGATTTCTGTGGTAAATGCATGTACCGTATGAACGAGTACTCTGATTTATTCCGAGTACGATTATTTCTGAAAAAACCGAGCGAGTACTCGAGTATTCGGTATAATTGTTTCACCCCTAGTAGAAAAGAAAAGGACATATGGATACGAGTTAAGAGTAACTCTCCATCACTTTAACTGCGCTTGCCTTCCCCTCTTTGGTCTTTTCATAACCTTGAACCTTCCAAGTTGGAAGGCTGCCGGTTAGCGCTACGGAGATGTGTTGAAGCTAGGTGTCAAGACGTCGAATGTCTCAGTACTCTGTCAGTTTTGTGCTTAGTCATTGAACTTTCTGACTGTATAATAGTATCCAGTTACAGTGATGGAGAGTTACTCTTCACTCGTATCCATATGTCCTTTTCTTTTCCACATATAGAATGGTTGTTATGAGTTTATAAGGGTGCCATGGCTGTTTCTACTCGTCACGGGGGTGTGCACAAACACTCTTCACCAGCGCGTTCCATGCTGGACGATCCGCAGCAATCCGCACAATCCACATTGTAAATGTGTGTACGTTTGTGAATGTGTGTACATTTGGGAATGCGTATTTGTCCATGTGTGTGTGTGTTTGTGTGTGCATGTGCGTGTGTGTGCACAAGTGAAGAAATAAGTGTTTGAAAGAACCGCATCTCACACACATACACGCACACACACGAACGCACACACGCATGCACGCACATACACACACATACACGTACACACATACACATGCGCTGTGATAATGATGCCGCAATGGATGCAACTCCCATCTTGCTCCTAGGAAATCACCACCCGGCATCACCACTTGACATCACCACCTGACAAAACCAGCAATATACAGATATGTTGAACATAACTTACAGCTGGTAGATGTGCTTCCAGAACAGCAGTCGTCTTCTAAGCCTATGTCATCGATAGCAATGTCACCATGAGACCCATGTCCACGAATGCCTTCAAATGAAAGCTGAACAAAAGCGTGCAGAAAGGTTACAGTTGGCATGAGACGTAAACGGTTTTCTCGGATTACCTAGCCGGGGTCGACAGACGGTCTAGGTATTCAAATGAACTTTAACTCAACTCAATCCTACCCCTCAAGGTCATTGTGGCCGTGTGCATCCTAATGCTCTTGCATGACGGAAGACCGACATACATTCTTCTCTTTGTCAACCAAAAGGTGTGCCTAGTGTGGAGGGGCATTAAAAACTATTGGGACTGACTAACTCCTACAAATCTATGTTAGAATTTTCCACTGACCAGTCTGAACAGCCTATATGTATATAGCACCTTTTTTGTCATGTGTTGCATACTTGGTAAACAGTTCAAGTAATTATTGTAATAGACGTTCAGGGACAACAGAAGTCATGAATGTACTACCTCTAGAGTATTACGCTCCCTCGTTTCTGTCTGGTTTGTGTCAAAGTTATCTGCCCTGGTACAAAGCTCGCTGTGTTTATCACAGCTGGTGCCCTCTGACCTTGATGCTTAGAGCCTGTGTCAAAATGCTTTTTTCTTCATTAGACTTCATTGCGATTGATTTGGCCTGTAATTCTGAGCTCCGTTGACGAGACCTAACAAGGTCGAAACAGCTATTTGTCTGGACATTGTGATTGTGTACTGCCTTATGTACATATTATATACACACTCAGACACAAAGGATCTCCAAGTTTCTCAGTGTTGCTACTCTGAGTTTCGTGCAAAAGCACTCTTCAGGCAGCACTCTTTTGCCGACGCAAGAAATACTTCTATTGTTCTATATATATATATATATATATATATATATATATATATATAGGCTGCTCTAGTGCTGCTGCATCGCGCAATGCTCGCTACATTTTGAGCACCATGGCTGGTAGCTCGGCCTATTTAGCTCGTAGCTGTACTGATGAGGCCTTTATGGCCGAAACAGCTTGCTGTCTACAGCATTGGGTATATATATACAATGGAAGCGGTCCTCACCAAGAAAACACAATCCGTTGCTACTCCGAGTTTCTTGAGTTTTTCAATCGTCAGGCAACTTCTCTTTCTTTCTTTCTTTCTTTCTTTCTTCTTACTTTCGAAGGCCCTGGATTTTGCGTCCACGTACACTAACATCGAGGACGGGGAAAGGGAGATTGTCATGCACGCACGAAAATCAGTGTTGTTCAAAGACGGCCAACCTTGGGTGAAGAAGAACAACGCCAGCACGTTCGATGTCACCATGGGCTCGTTCGATGGCGCGGAAGTGTGTGAGCTGGTTGGCGTATATATGCTCCACGAACTAACAGCCCACATCGGCAGAGCGCAGATTGGCCTGTACAGGGACGACGGCTTGGCTGTGCTGAGAAACACCACCGGCAGCGCGGCAGAGCGCATACGGAAGAGTTTGACGGCGGTGTTTGCAGGGCATGGACTAAAGGTAACGATTGACACCAACCTAAAAGTCGTAGATTTCCTCGACGTGACGTTCAACCTGTCAACCGGAGGATACATGCCACACCGAAAGCCAGGCGACACACCGCAGCACATCAACACTCACTCAAACCACCCACCGTCCATAATAAAGCAACTGCCAGCAGGAATAAGCCGACGCGTGTCAACCAACTCATCAAGTGAGGAAGCATTTAACGAAGCTGCGCCTATGTACACCAACGCATTATTGGCCAGTGGATACGCGGAAGGTATTGAGTACATGGGGCAACCAGCTCAGAAAAACAGAAAGCGAAACCGAAAAAGAAAAATAACATGGTTCAACCCTCCTTTCAGCCGTAGCGTGAGAACAAACGTCGCTGCTGCCTTCCTCACAATGATCGACCGGCATTTCAAAAACACCCCCTGAAAAAGATCTTCAACCGACATAACGTGAAGGTTAGCTATTCATGTATGCCCAACATCGCAGCGATTATTAGTGGGCACAACGAGCGGCAACTGATACAAGAACCTCCTGAATAGCCTTGCAATTGTAGGAAAAAGCAGGAATGCCCCATGGAAGGACGTTGCCAGGCCTCTCACGTCGTCTATGAAGCACACGTCACCAGCCAGGATGAGCTCAGGACATACATCGGCTCAGCAGAGACAACGTTCAAAACAAGATACAACAACCACACGATGTCCTTCCGCCACGAAAAGTACCGCACTAACACGGAGCTCTCCAAACACCTCTGGAAAAAGAAAAACGACGACAAAGAGTATCACCTGTCCTGGAGAATCAAGGACAAGGCCAGCTCCTACAACCCCGCAACGAAGAGATGTTGCCTTTACACCACGGAGAAGGTGCGTATACTCACTGCTGACAAGAACAAAACCCTCAACAAGCGAAGTGAAATCATCGCCAAATGTCGTCATGCAAACAAATACCGGCTCGCTAAGTATAACGGAATCACGTAAAACCGGACATGGACAGAGCAACCTGATGCCCAATGAAACCAGACACACTGCACCATTATTGTTGAACCAGACACACTGCATCATTATTGTTATGATTAACGCCAAATATAGCACCGTAATGGCCTTACAACCCTGACGCCAGATTTAACTCCAGATTTACATGCTCCATTCAGCGCTTGTTACAGTAAGGCCACACTTTGTTAATTCATTGTTTAACGTCCACTTTGTTAATTCATTGTTTAACGTCCTTTTTTCGCGAAAAGGTACGCGGGAGGGCGGAAAAAAACAAAAGCCCATTCCAAAAACTGGAAACCCCAATCAAACATTTTGACCAGTAAAGCATGTGATATATACAATATTTCTGGGTCTAACGGCACTTGCAGGCATAGAACAACACTCTTTGATGGTACATTGGAGCACATGCCTGATGAATCCAACAAAACCTGTGCATGGCATGGAGTTAGCATGTCATTAATTCATTACATCTGGATTTTTACTAGGACACACACCGTACGATATTTAAAAGCCAACAAAAAAAGAAAAAGAACACAAGACAAAGGCATGCCCGGGAGGCAAGATTATAAGTTTAAGGTCATGATCGGCACACTGTGAAACAACACAATCATGTATTTACAACTTCGCATATTAGTGGTACTACTACTTTCTTGGGTTTTTTTCCGGTCGGAGGCAAAAAGGTACGCGGGCGCGGACGTTAAACAACGAAAAAAGAAAGGGTGGCCTAATGGACAATTGATATCAATATTTTATACTGCCTGCACCTAGCAGTAACTCTTCACTCTTCACACTTCACGCTTTCTTTTTGTGCGCCTTGCTGTGTGGTTGTGTATTTCTTTAGTGGACCTGACAGCCCTGCTTTAGTTAGAAAAGTTGCCTGACGATTGAAAAACTCAAGAAACTCGGAGTAGCAACGGATTGTGTTTTCTTGGTGAGGACCGCTTCCATTGTGTACTAGCTCCAGTGCACCCCAGCGCTGTTGAGCCCTCTTTGCGGTGGACGGGACCACTTCCCCCTGTATATACATATGATGAGTTCAAAAAGAACGAAACAGCATGCTGTCCGCAGATTGAGTATTTTTTTCCCTCCTGCTCTTGTAGCAGTTGAGCACTCTTGCGTGGGGTAGTGCCTTTGCTGTTTGCTTTATGCAGAGCTCACTGACTTGTCAGTTTGAGCACTCTGGCAAGGTACGTTCGGGCCTGATTGGAAATTTTTATTTCCATTGCTATCAGGTTCGGCCTCATTTCCTCTGTGCTGCGCTGATGAGTTCAAAAAGAACGAAACAGCATGCTGTCCGCAGATTGAGTATATACATACATAAATATATATATGCAGAGCTCACTGACTTGTCAGTTTGAGCACTCTGGCAAGGTACGTTCGGGCCTGATTGGAAATTTTTATTTCCATTGCTATCAGGTTCGGCCTCATTTCCTCTGTGCTGCGCTGACGAGTCCACACAGGACGAAACAGTTCTGTCCGCAGATTGATTATTTCGCTCCTGCTCTTGTAGCAGTTAAGCACTCTTGCGTGGGGTAGTGCCTTTGCTGTTTGCGTTATGCAGAGCTCACTGACTTGTCAGTTTGAGCACTCTGGCAAGGTACGTTCGGGCCTGATTGGAAATTTTTATTTCCATTGCTATCAGGTTCGGCCTCATTTCCTCTGTGCGGCGCTGACGAGTCCACAAAGGACGAAACAGTTCTGTCCGCAGATTGAGTATTTCGCTCCTGCTCTTGTAGCAGTTGAGCACTCTTGCGTGGGGTAGTGCCTTTGCTGTTTGCGTTATGCAGAGCTCACTGACTTGTCAGTTTGAGCACTCTGGCAAAGTATGTTCGGGCCTGATTGGAAATTTTTATTTCCATTGCTATCAGGTTCGGCCTCATTTCCTCTGTGCTGCCCTGACGAGTCCACAAAGGACGAAACAGTTCTGTTTGCAGATTGAGTATTTCGCTCCTGCTCTTGTAGCAGTTGAGCACTCTTGCGTGGGGTAGTGCCTTTGCTGTTTGCGTTATGCAGAGCTCACTGACTTGTCAGTTTGAGCACTCTAGCAAGGTACGTTCGGGCCTGATTGGAAATCTGTCCGCAGATTGAGTATATATTGAGTATATATATTTAAATAGAGAGGTAGGCGAACAAAATGTATATACACACAACAACAAGGTTGTCAATTTCATAGTACCAAAAGCTTTTCACCCATTTTCATCAGTAGATACATGGGAATGAGCGAGAACGAAAACGAAGCCAGAATTTATACTGGGGGTGAAGAATCAGCAAGAATATTCTTACGCGCCTCAAGTTTACGCGCCTCAAGTTCCTGACAAACGTGTGGCAACAAGTGATAGCGCCATCACAAAGCACTTGCAGGCGCAACCTGAATGCATCCCGTTTGTTTATATTGCCTATATTGTTTATAGGCGTATCAGTTCCAAACAAGTCGGCAAAGTCGGCAAAGAGAAAGGAAACACCTAGAGTAGAGCGCGTTGAAGTTGAGTGAACTGGTAAAAAGGAAACATGAAGTCAGTCACTGGTGGGTGGTAGGTGCTGCTGAGTACCACTGGAGTAGAGCGCCAGAGGTATCCTGTTGCGAAA